CATCAATGCTTACGTCTTCCGAGTGGCCCTTCCTCTTCAGGCTTTCCATCCACAAAATTTTGTTCCAATTTATTATCTCCCCGTTCGCGCTGCATACCCCACCCATCTCATCCTCCTTGATTTGATCATCCTAATGATATTCGGTGAAGAATAAAAACTATGGACCTCCCCCTTTTCTAGTTATCTCCTGCCTCCTGTCATTTCGCCCCTTTTAGGTAGAAATATTATCCGAAGTGCCCTATAATAATAATAATAATAATTATACAGCCCTAATTTTTATATGGAAGGCGGATATAAATGCTGCCTTCCTGATACCCTTCCCACATGTTTCGTACCCCCACTATCGCGGCATCTAGAACTCTCAAGTTCCTCCTAACTCTTTTCCCTCCTTGCATCACAAATGCAGCTCATCCCTCCCTCCCTCCCTACCTGCACACACAGTCCTCTCCTCCCACTATCACCTCCTCCTAAAATCACCACGAAGATCAGCAACGTGCGACTTCTTTTTCGAAAATAAAAACTCAGCACCGTTGGGCATCAATCGCTCATTCGAACATTTAAAACCGTGCAGTGAACATCGCGCCGACCCCCACTCTTCCGGTGTTCCTCAGGGTCATTGATACACTCACGAGCCGGCAGCAAAGTACGTTGCCCAGCAGTGTCTTCGTTTCGAAAAGTGAACACTCACTCTTCTGAATCATCGGTAGTGTTTTGTCTGGCGTAGTGCATGAAATTCAAAAAAAAGGAGTTTAAATCAACCTCCATCGGATCAGATTGTTGCCCTCTGCAAATTAAAAAAGAACAGATCTGATTGTTACCTTTTGAAAATCAAAAAACAACTCAAGATATTCTTCCAAAACCGTAGATTCAAATAAATACCCGTGACATTTCAAAACGAAGACCTAAATTATATACTAAAATAAAACTTTTGAACGGAACTGTGTCACCGAAAGCAGAAATTCGTCTCGTCAAACGAGTGGAAGGCACAAATAATCGACGTACGCAAGAGGTTACAGCTGCCGGAGATTGAAAATGAGGTAAGCAGCGCAATAATACTCTAAGTGTTGCGGTCAACACTTGTTACCGGACGAATCGTACATTGTTTTCGCCATATAACTTCAAAAACTTGATTGCCCATTATGTTCACGCATGCTCAATACTCTTGGTTGTTTTATTGGAAGCTATCAATCGAATTATTATGCATAACTTAAATAATTATAAGTATTATTATTATTGTTAATTATTAATACTGTACATGTATAACTTTAAGTAATCTCTTTTTGTAGTATTTTTCTTTATTATTTCATTATTATTGTATATTTATCAGTGTTTGCCTGTTATTGGTTTCCTGTTGTTGGCAAACACGTAAATAAATTAATTGAATTGAATTGAACTAAAATGCTAAATAAAATGTAATCAGAAAATTATTTGCTTTTAGAAACTATTCAAACTGTTGCATAATTTAACATTTTCAAAATTAGGGAAGAACAAAATAATAGTATTAATTAGTAAAAATGACACTCGCTTACATGTTTCTATTCAAGATAAAGACAATCTGTAAAATATACCAGGTAATAAATTGGATTGTACGCAGAGGTAGCGTTCAACTACATTTTTTTTTACTCCTGATTTAAAGACTGGAATAATATCTGTAGCGACAAAAATGCGTCACTTTTAGAACAAGCAGAAATTCTTTTGACGGACAATCACCGTCTAAAGTCCAATAGCTATAGCATCATTCTTCAACAAATGCTTGTCAATAATAACATCTGCCAAGTTGGACTAATCTTATAATTTCTGAGTGGAACTAAGCGGACAACGAAGTAAGCTGAAACACGTCAAAATATGTAATTGTGTTTCTCCCACATTTGCTTCCAGGGTCTGGAACGGTCACACACTCACACACACACACACACACACACACACACACACACACACACACACACACACACACACACACACAGAGAGAGAGAGACAGAGAAGTGTAGGAAATAGTTGTGTTCCTTGCCTGTTCCAGCGTTTAAGTCTCCACCGTAATTATCAGAGATGCAACACTTCGCGTATATTACTGGATGCAGACAACCACACCGCGTAGAGTACAAAGAAAAAAGACGAAGGGGCAAAACTATTTCAATATCGACCTCGACATTAACACCGCACCGTAATTAAATTCCTCTTACACTGTTAGAACATTTCCTCTGCTACACGTTCTTAATTCTTCCGACTGTTTTTCGACGCATTTGTTCTTACATAACGGTACGTGTTAAATATAAGTAAGATTGTAATCTTATCACAAAGAAGGCCAGTTCTTCTCATGTTCTGACTAATGTGTAACGAAAAGATAATTAATTTCACACAATTTAATGAAGCTGGAGGAAGCAGCGTCTTCGTGTGATGTATATAAAAGTTTTCTCATCAGTTAAAAGTACAATGCACAATGTTCTAAGATATTAAGTATAATAACATTAAAATAATAATATGTGCTTTATAAACAGGTCCCAAACATTTTCTTAACGATTTCCTAATGGTTTATAACATACGTTTATTAATAAAACTGCAGTAATGTTATGCTATATGTTTCACACACTATCTGACAACATGATTTTAATATTACTCTTGCATAAACTTTTATTATAGCATCTTACGCTTCAGATTATTGTAAGATTTGTTACTTTGTCTGATTCACTGGACCTAATTTGAGTTAATTCTCCACTGTCTGAGGCATAATATAAACTACGTTTCGAGAAGTTGCTTACGCCTGTCAATATAATGACAACAAATCACACGAAGACATAATCAGTCAGTACAACATGTGTTGAGTATATACAAACTACGTTTCGAGAATTTGCTTACTCCTGTCAATATAATCACAACAAATCACACGAAGACATAATAAGTCAGTACAACATGTGTTGAGTATATAATATTTATCATAAACAGTAGACAATATTCTACAAAACGAAGATATAATTCTCTCAAGTTATAGTGGATTTTGTGTAAATATTACGACTTATAAAAATAACGCGTAAATAATTTTAAAGTGTGTTTTAATATCATGGTGAGAAGTCTTCTTTACAATGATTGTAGTTATAATTTGGTTAACAGATTTGCCATTGACCCAAAAATTCATTACCGTTCTCACAAAAGCCAACTATTTTCTCTACACTGAGCCATTTTAATCCATCCCATAACTTTGCATCATATTTTTCCAGTATCATTTGTAACATTTCCCACTTATGTCCGCCTTGATCTTGGAGTTTTCCTATCGAACTGTGTACGCATTTCTTATTTTCCCCTCGCTGAAATGCTTGTCGAGCCCATGTCAATGTTTTTAAACGCAGTGTTTATTAGAGGTCAGGAACAGGAACCCCACAACCGTTGCCACAGCAACTAAGGAGCGCCTTCACTGACCTCTTGTCCACGTTCATACATCTTCCCTTCCCGGGTTCCGACTCGATGTGTTCGGTAGTGGTTCTGCTAGGACAGGTTAGCATTCATCTCTTATGCTACACATGAGGTTTCTCGCTTACTAACATACGAGGTCTAAAAATTAAGTAACTGGACCGATACTAATATGCAACAACAAGTGACATTTATGAGTTAGCGCCAGTTGGATCACGTGACTACATGATTCGGCAGTTCTCGTCAAACAGTCGTTAAGATTCAGTTTGTTTTATGTTGTAGTAGGCCTGATTCTTCTATTCATACAGTCTTTTTGTTTCTCAATAACTTATGAGAAAAGAAATTTGCTGAGTCAATTCAAGAAGATACATTCCAGCATCCTGTGGAGGTTTCTAAAAAAATAAATACGACCGATATATTATTTTCGTCAGCTACAACGAGACTTTATTTATTACTGTAACAAAAACGTTCATAATACATACGGATACGTGTTTCGGTCTATCAAGATTACCATAAGACTTTTTACAACAACAAAAAACACTTAAAGCATCATTCAGAAATGTTAGTTTCGACTAAGAGAGGGAATCAAAGTCTGGAAGTAGTACAGATGAAATTCTTAAGATTTCCAAAAGTGGACCACAAATAAATAAGGAAGTGACAAGAAGAAGAAGAAGAAGAAGATCAATAATTATCCCTCCATTTTTAAATGAATCACTATGGAAGAAGTAGGTTACAGCTGACCCTGACCGACTCAGAAGGTCATATCAAAGGTCACTTTTCGTTTTGTCCAGCAGAACATCCATGCACTCGTAAGATTCCTTACTTCATACAATGAATGGCTGTTCATAAGTTAATGGCACACGACAAATTATACATAATGTAAGAGAATACCACATTGTATGAAATCGCGGGAGAGGTTTTATTAAACCCAGCTTTCGCGTGTAATTGCAGGATATGCGGGCAGTCAGAATACTTTCCGCAAAACAGTGACCGTAATTTGACGACATTCTGCAAGCATCGTGACCCAGGTATTTCAAATTACATGCTGCCTGCTACTAAACACAGGAAAAAAATTAGTTTTTATTTTGATCTTTCCGGAGCGTCATTAGAAGCTACGGAACAAGTATTAGAAATCTCAGAACCTCATTTCTTACATTCAGGTCTGCATTCACATTTTCTACAAACATCCACAAAACGTATAAGTTCTAGAAAGAACTCATTACAGCGACAAACGTGATATAAGCCACGCTATGTTCAAAAGACTACCGCTTCAAACCTCAACTGATTTACCAAGTTTGTGTTTATTTCAATTTGTTTTTCTCGCGTGTGTCAAGACAGCAACTTCAATCACGGCCGCCTCCTTTAAAATTCTTACCAACTCAAAATTAAGATATATAATCTTTCATTCTACATTGTATAATGTTTTTGGTCGAAACAACATCGTTAATAATAAAAAATTAAAAACTGAAAAAGTCTATTTGCATTCAACCAATTTAACCCGTAAGTGGACTTGCAATATGTTTTCATTGGTAAGTTCAATTTTACTTAATTTAACTTTTTAACACTCCCGAAGTTATGAAAGGGGCATATTGTTTTTAAAAACTGAATATCTTGCCGCAGCATCTTTGGTGTGGAGTATTATCAGAGAGAAATCTGTCCTGTCATCTTCTGACACATTAAGGAACTATTCGCAGCATCCAGACAGACACAATGAAAATATGAAAGAAAATACAGAAAATGACATTCTGCTGTAAATCACAAATATAAATGATTAAGGGTTATGTTTAAAGCAATGTGAAATGAAACTTTTCCGACACGAAATGTTAACGCCATAACAAACGTTTTAATATAATGCGAGCAGTACTTCAGAGTTTAAGGAAATTAAAATAAAATTTGTCAAGAAAACATTTCCGACACGAAATGTTAACGCCATCACAAACGTTTTAATATAATGCGACCATTACTTCCGAGTGTAAGGAAATTAAAATAAAATTTGTCAAGATTTAATTTTAGTGTATAAGATTAATTTCACTGTCCACCGTGTTCCACAGTTCCTCTTCAGAAGCAATTTCTCTGTTTATTAATTTTTTACGATAATTGTTCTTTCACTCTAGTGCATGAGCAGTCGCTTATTCGTAATTGCAAACCTGTGGACAGCTTTGAAATAAATTACATGTCTATCAACGACAATAAAGATTTCGTATTCTGAGTTTAATGTTTTTTTCTACAAGCCAATTTTAAAATAATAAACAGAGGACACAGAGCAAGAAACCAGAGAAAACCGAAAGTTTAATGTTCAGCATAAAATAAGAACATGTCACCTAAGTTAAAAAATTATCTAATGAGCTTGTATTACTGCACACAGTAACCAGTATAAGAAAACTTGGCAATTTTTTAGACGAGAAGTGTCATTCACATTGCTGAGGTTTCTAGTTCTCTCGTTCATGCTATTCCTATTGGGTTCTCATTTAAAACAAATCACCCTGTAATTCCGAACCGCGTTCCGTTTCGTCCGACCTATCTAGTGGTATATATGTAACAATATACGGCTTAACGCATAACTTGTAGTTTTGTAGACACTGACATCCGTTTCAGAGGCCCTTCCTGCCTCCATCATCAGGGCGATCCTAATGAT